TTCAGTTAAAAAGTTTCTTTTTTTTCTAGAAAATCTTTCTTACACATTTTATAATATTATTATATCGACGTTTCAAATCATTCTGAATTACTTGTTTGAATGTAATCAAAAATTTGAAATACATGCTGTATTCAATTGTTTATTATTAGGAAGTCAATTTTTTTTTTCAAATTTATTTATATAAAATAATATTGGGAAAATGTTTCTCCCTGTGTAACTGAAAAGGGGTGCTTTACTTTGATATTTGTGAGTAATTTGACAAAAACGAAAAAAATGTCCCAAATTTTCTTATAAATGCTGAAGAAAATAAAAGGTCAAATTCAAACTCGTTTTATTCCAATATTTTATATTTGAGTGTATATATAGCTGTTTTATTCGTTTCATTCCAAAAATTTATTTCGGAATGTATAAAGTTGATGGCATGGATCGTAGTAAATTTTATCTAGTTTCTTATCGTAGTAAATTTTATTTAGTTGGTTTTTGTCAAATAACTCTGAAATATCATGTGAAAGCACCCCTTTTCAGTAAGATAGGGAAAAACTAGATAAAATTTACTACGATTTCATGTCAACAGCTATATACACTCCGATATAAAATTCTGGAATAAAACGACGTTGAAATCGATCTTTCATTTTCTTTAGCATTTAATAGAAAATTCCGGATATTTTTTTGGTTTTTGTCAAATAACTCACAAGTATCATATGAAAGCACCCTTTTCAGTTAGATAAGGGGAAACTAGATGAAATTTACTACGATTCCATGTCAACAGTTATATACTAATCCTAACTAATTTATTTATGCCATATCGGTTCTGTCGACAAAATTTATATCTGTATTATAAATTACATAAGTCGTGATATCGGAGCGTGTAATTTCGATAGGAATTGAACACGTTCGGTTTATATTACTACTGATCGCTAATGTATGAATTCATTAATCATTCGGTGGTTTATAATTAACAATGGACTTGCCGAACGATGCAGGCAAACATGGTTCGTAGATGCAATGTTGTTTTGTGCAACGACCTAGAATGGTCGATTATATTCAATTCTATATGGATCAATTGGAAGTAATTATTTATTTACGTTTTAATTGTAAATTATTAAGCTACGTTCAAAAAATACCTTCTCACAACTCACTTATTAAAATATAATTTTCGATATCCAGTTGTAAACATTTACTTAGTCAACTAAATATTTCCGTTTAACCAGGTGATGTAATATATAATTATCAAATAAAATTTAGGCAGGGTACGACTTAGGTTTAGTGGTACGACTTGAACAACCTTACTCTACTCACGTTTCTTCATGACATTATTTTTTTTTAATATAGTTGGGCCCTTGCATAAATACATATACCACTTGGATTTCTTTGTAATTCGAATTTTGATACTACAAGGTCCGAAGGACCCGGAGCATGTGGGCCCCATTGTGTGTAAGTACCAGCAAATTACATAGTATAAGCAAAAATTAATAAATACCTCCCAATTCCTTAAAAGAGACAGAAAATTTTATGATTGGTTTTTATGTGTGAAAAATGTTTCTGGGGACCCTTTTGAAGAAGAGTTTCTAATTTTCTAAAAAATTTTGTAAGGTACCCCGCCAAGACATCTTATGCATAAAAAAATTAATATAATATATGAATTTAATTATAAAGTACAATTTCAATATGGTCATTTGACTAAAAAATATGAAATTGTTTGATTTGTGCTATATATAATACGAGTACAATATTTCATTTCAAATGTCCAAACTGCTTGGGTCTAGCACATTTTTATCATTATTTTAATAATGTATTATAACTCTATATTGATTTTTGTCATATGACTAAGTTTATTAATTAAATATGATTGAAAATATAAATTTTAGGGAAATTAAAAACCAGAAAAAACATGCATTTTTAAATTGCCTTTGGGAAAAAGGGCATTCATTTTTATTTTAATGTATAGCCTCGAGGATTTTGTATGAGTAATTCGTAATATTTTATCGCGTAGATCATATTTTAATAAAAATAAATAAATAGAATCAAATATAACATACCTGTTTTATAATTAGATGTAAGTGATTTCTGGATTCTTGAATGACCAATATTTAAAATAATATAGAAATCATCACACAACACCTGAACTGCGACACTTTTATTTTAAATTTGATACACATACAGATAATAATTGTTAATAACATACTGATATTATTGTACACACAAATTTATAACTATTTAATGCAGAAAATTTATCATTATTTGTAATAGAAAAATAAGAACAATGTTGTTATGGAAAAGTTGTTCTGAGTTATTGTCAACTTTGTATTGTTATTAATGGCAGCCCGTATATGAATCGTCGTCGTCTAAGTATCTAAGTAAATATTAATCTAAATAGCGATAAAATTATCTATTTTCAATGTCCTTGGTTAGATTCTGTCTACAATTTTTGTTATATAAAAAATTCCTCACAACAACTCTCTCCAGTTATGTTAATACTTCCTACAAACGCATAATGTTTTATTTGTCCACTCCAGTTAAATCGTTGATATTCTTTTAAGGGGCACAACTAGTGTAACCGCCTGAAAAAAGGTGATTTTTGGGAATTTTTATTAAAAAAACTACTTCATCAATCATTTCAAAATTTTAGGAATATATTTATACATGCTTTTAGAATACATAGTAAAAATTTTGAAGAAAAAAATTAAATATTTTTTAAGTTATCGGCGATCTTCAACGGCGCGACAAAAGAAAGGCCCTTCACTGGCTGCATTGATTCCGGCCTTCTACGTGGATGAAATTTAAAAAACCAAAATCTCGTTAAACTAGATAATATTGTCTGTAAAATGAACTACGATAAAGAACAAAAATCAAAAATTGACAAAATGACGGCTTTTTTTAAAAAAAAGTCGAATTTTACCCAAAATTTTGGTCGTTTTTGGACTGCCAAAATTCGATTTTTGATCCGATCCAAAAATCGATAGTTCATTTTACGGAGAACTATATATAGAACATGTAAAAAAATTTGATAGTGATCGGATTATTGGTTTTTGAGTAATCACTGCAGCAAATTCGGAAAATGCTGTTTCGAGAAAAACGCGTTTAAAGATAAAATTATCTATATTACTATACTAAATTATCTATATACTATATATATACTCTTCAAATGGCTGTGACTCAAAAACTATTTAAGATATCAATTTAATATTTTGGTATGTTATTTTTAAAGGTATAACCTAACGAAATATGGAAAAATTGTAAACTCGATTTTTTGAAAATTTCACACTAGTTGTGCCCCTTAAATGTGTAAGAGGCATTTATATCAATAAAGACAAATAATGCCAAAAGACAAATATTAAATAAAACTGGTATAAATCCCATACTTATATGGCTACTGAAGAACATAATACATACTTTCGTTTATATCATCTCCAGAATGGTCTATCACGAAAATATCTATAAGTTCGCCACTTACAGCCTGAAATAAACGACCAGGCCTACGGTGTGCCATTAAATAAATGGCATTGCGGTGCTTTCACATTGATTTATTGTGTGTAATCAGAAGACACGAAGACTTGATATAGCATTAAGATAAAGAAATCCTACAGAATTTGGCCCATTTACCTTTTAGGCAAAACGGACATAAGGAATTTTACTGATATTAGAATATCAGTTTCTCTGCATTTTGATGCAGAGGTTTCGAATCTTTTATTACCCTCTCCCTCCCCTGTTTCTTTAAAAAAAATTAAAAAATGATTTTTCCAACAATCTAATTTTTTAATACTCCAACGGATGTAATTTATTTATCAGACAGCTAATTAATATACTATATTATTATTTTAATTTGTGCTAAATAAATGACACATAATTTAAAACTTAAATATACTAATAAAGAATATAATATAAGTTTTTAGTAGAACTTTATTATTTGTTTATATACCGAAATATATCTCGTATTTTTACAGTTATATATTTTTTTCTCTTTTAACCTTGCATAAAATTTATTCCTTCGTAATTAATTTAAAAATTAGCAATTGTGCTTGGGCCTTGCAGTCAAAAAGTTCCATTTCATAATTTTTGCTAATTTTCGTAAAATGGGAGATGAAAATTCAAAATTATTAATTGTGGGATGCTATTTTAGCCTGCCTTGAGAATTTTGCATTCGGCAATTCTCTCATTCAGGAAGATTGGTTTCAAATAAGCATACTTCATGCATATACTAGTTGGTAGTTATAATTTTATTATCTAGTATTGCATTACATAGCATTGCAAAGATTCAATTGAAACTTTTTGAAGCCCGGAACAAAAAGCCAAAATCCAATACAAATACTGCTTTTCAAAAAACCCGGGACACAAGGCGGAAATCCGGGGCTGTTCCGGCCAAACCAGGAAGCCCAAGCCATATGGCTACCTTAGTTATTGTAGTTTTGGTACATTGTACATTTTATATTAATTATTAATCTATTACACGGCTCTTATAATAATGTTTTATATGATTATCTATAATCTAAATTAAGTACGCACTTACATTTCGGAGTTTTTCATGTTTGCAGAGGGATGAAAAAGACCCTTGCGCCCCTTTCGTCATTAAGCATTAAAATATTTATGAGCAAAGGCACAAACCTTTACATTATATTTTATTTAAAATATATATTAATTATCGATTCAAATCATTTATCATTTGCCTACGTTAAAATAAATATGAAATTTCAAAATAAGAAATTTAGAAAAATAAATACTATTTGAATTGTGTTTGAATGAACAGGCTTACCAACCTATACACTCATTATGCAATATTTACCGAAATCTATCAATTAATTCAATTGTTATATAAATGTATAATATAAGTAATTAATCATTAAATAGTAATTAAATTATTAGAATATGTGTAGCTGGTAAATAACAATTCCGCTAAGCTGCGTTATTTTTAAATTCTTCGTAGTTTGGCGCCTTGTACGCCATGACACTTCAAGATAGTGCTCTGTTTGCATATTTGTAGCTATTGTTTTAATACTAATTGATATGACAAATCAAACAGAAAACAATGTTTTTTGTGTACATAATAAAATGTGATAGGAATAAAACTAAAAGTTAAACCCTTTTAGCATTATTTGTGTGTTTTACCCTACGATATGAAATATTTGTGATAGAACAATTGGGATAATGGCCGCCCGCCGCGTCCCCCTGATCATTGTTACTTTCTTGATGTATATGATTTAAATTATTGTTAATATCATAATGAGATTTTAATTAATGCGTAACCAAATGTGGGGATGAATTCAGAACATCAAAATAACCTCCCAAGTGGAGGGCAGCCGTCTTGTTCGTCGGCTGAGGTAAAATTAATATACAACAAATTATAAAAATCTATTTCTTTATTTTATATTTATTAAAAATATTTATCTACTAGGAGACAATACGTGTTTTACCACCAAATTCAACTGCAATAACTAGTGCTACAGATTTACGATTAAATCCTTCAGCTGTCAATGCAGTTACATTGTCAAGTGTTGCAAAATATTTGGTTTTTACGAATTTATTTCCTGGTCCAGTCCCTCAGCTTTCTGTGTACGGATTACCTACAAATAGTAGGCTTGATAATGGAAAAACAGGACAGGTAATAAATGTTTGAATTGTATGTGGTATTTAATGTTTGTATTTTTATTAAAACGTTCTATCTCATTATTAGGATAATGTGGGCTTATCTGCTAACGATGCCGCATTACTTCTGCAAACAAATGTTTCTAGTGCCATACCTGTATCACAATCTATGCCTGCAATACATGTCTCATCTAGTAAGTAACTTTTATATTATTGAATAATTTTCATAACGGACCATTTTATTCAATCTTATTTTTTTTAGATTCTACTAACTTAAATAACCAGCATCACATGAATACACAGCAACATGCACAACAAGTGCAGCACAATGAGAATCTTCAAATTCAAAATAATCATCAACCTACAAGTTTGAATTCGATTTCTGTATCCAATGCGTCTATTGTTAGTAGTGTTAATTCACAACAAAATAATATGAGATCCATTATGAATAATAATCAGTTGGGTACCTCTGTTAACCACAATCAAGGGATTGAGGTAATTGCTTAATATATATAAATATATAAATATTTTTTTTATCAAACAATCAATTCATAATATAATCTTACAGGATCAACAACGTAATGGTATGGTAATATTAAATTCTGCTCAATCTGAACAAAGTCGAATTAAGAATTATCAAACTCAGTTAACTATACAACAACTGCAACAACTCCAGGTAATTAATTAAAAAAATAATTATATAATATAAAAATGTAATTTTAATCTTTACAATTAAATCATTTTATAATCTTTTTGATATAAAGGTTCAGCAAGCAATGCAAGATGTGATGAATGAGAATAATCAAAATAATCAATCAATATCTGATATCAAAGATGAGAAAGTAACCAACTCCCCAGTTGCAAACTGTCCAAAAACATCTAACTCGAATATTGATATTAAACCAGCAGCTTTTAATATGGATATGAAAAACAACCACATGATGGATGTGCGCACTGTTGATGGTTCTATTCTTAAAATATCTGCGGGTGTTCAGGTATTTATTTTATAGAGTATTAGTATTTTTTTCTTATTTATTATAACTTTAAATTTATTTTAACTTTAGGAACAAGATCTTGCAAAAAATTTGGGTGTTGAAGTCGTTCAAAATATGTACAAAGTAAATGTTGATGAAATTAATCAACTTCTTGCTTATCATGAAGTTTTTGGTAAATTACAAAGTGATCCTGGTCAAATAACACCTAAACTTATAGAGGCAGAAGAGCAACAAGGAACTAGTACTAATAGTGCGGTGAGGTTCATTGTAAAACTTTTTTTCTGTTTTGTGAAACGTTCAATTTTTTAAAATAAATATTCTTGGTTCTAGGTGGCCAATGAAACTACCAGTCCATCAGCACCAGTTGTTGCTGGTTCTCATACTTGTGATGTATGTGGAAAAATATTTCCTTTCCGTTATCAACTGATTGTTCATAGGTAAAACCTAGATTTATTATATAAATTTGTATTATTCTAATAATCTTTTACAATTTTCACAGGCGTTATCATACAGAGCGAAAGCCTTTTACATGTCAAGTCTGTGGCCAAGCATTTACTTCTAGTGCTGATTTAACAAGGCATGGCAAATGCCATTTGGGGGGATCCATGTTTACATGTAATGTTTGTTTTCATGTATTTGCTAATGCTCAGAGTTTAGAGCGGCACATGAAACGACACTCAACTGACAAGCCTTATGTTTGTACAACATGCCAAAAATGTTTTGCCAGAAAAGAGCACTTAGATAATCACACCAGAAGTCATACTGGGGAAACTCCTTTTCGGTGAATTTTTAATTTAATATTTAACATTTGCAGACACAAATTATATATTTATATATATGTAATTTTTGCTGTCTTTTAAACTACATATGATATACATGAACAATAACACATTCCTAAATGTACACCTTTCTACAGTTGTCAATATTGTGCAAAGACATTTACTCGAAAGGAACATATGGTAAATCATGTTCGAATTCACACCGGAGAGACCCCACATAGATGCGACATTTGCAAAAAATCGTTTACAAGAAAAGAACATTTCATGAATCATGTCATGTGGCATACAGGTTACTAATATTTTAAATAAATATATTTTTGTTTTAATTATTTGAAGGATTCTCTAAAATTTATATATATACATATATCTTTTTTCTGGTCTATATTTTAGAGAATAATTCAAATTATTTAAATGCAAAAATCTAACTGTTAGGATTTTTTTTAAATTGTTGTATTATTAGGTGAAACTCCCCATCATTGTGAAGTCTGTGGTAAAAAGTACACAAGAAAAGAACATTTGGCAAACCACATGCGATCTCATACCAATGACACCCCATTTCGATGCGAGATTTGTAATAAAGCTTTTACTAGAAAAGAGCATTTTACAAATCATATAATGTGGCACACAGGTGAAACACCTCATCGATGTGATTTCTGTTCAAAGACATTTACAAGAAAAGAGCATTTGCTTAATCATGTGAGGCAACATACTGGAGAATCTCCACATAGGTAAATGAAATCTTTTAATGTGAAATAAACAAATATTTATTATTATTTATTAATCTCAGGTGTACTTACTGTTCAAAATCATTTACTCGCAAAGAGCATTTGACAAACCATGTACGAATGCATACAGGGGAAACGCCATTCAGGTATTCTTTTATTGATTTAAAATGAAATTCAACAAACCAAAATTAATTGTTTTAAATGTGTGAATTTTAACACCATAAATAATTTTTTGTGTAATGGACAGTTTGTGTAATCTGATTCACTGGTGTTTTATATAGTGTTTTCCTTAATGTAACTAATTATACATACAGTTCAACCTATTTTTGTGCGGTGGATAGGATTGTGAAAATTTAACAGAATTATGATGATTAATTTAGATACATAATGCTTACAAAAATTTAACCAAATGCATGTTTATACTTCACTACTTTTTTAATTTGAAAACTGAACTAATTAATACATTTTACTTCCATATATATGTTGCATGATGATTTTTATTTGTAATAACACTTGTCAACAAAATTATTTCAACAAACATATGCCACACAAAACTAGGTTTGACTGTATTTACTTTTTCTCGATTTACTATTAATTCCATAAAAGCACTTATATAAAATGGTATAATTGTTTATAGATGCAGTCATTGCTCGAAAACTTTTACGCGTAAAGAACATTTGGTAAATCATGTACGACAGCACACTGGCGAAACACCATTCAGGTACACATAATTGTCCAATATCATTCATTTTTATATATTGAAAGTTTTTGAGTATAAACTACAAGAAATAGTTATAAATGCACATGCTGAATAAAAATTATTATTATTTAAAATTAGGATATTAATAAATGCAATTGTATATTTGCATTCACAAATAGTACCGGTGAACTTTACTAAACACCTAATACATACCAGAAATATTTTCAACATGTTACTTGATATCATAATCATTGAACAGATGTATCAATACATTATCATAAGTTTAAAAAGATTTAATAATAATTTATATATTACAGATGTGGAAAAAGTGACATAATATCCTTTCATGAATTTTTATTTTATTTCTTATAATTTTATTGCAGATGTGGCTACTGTGGTAAATCATTTACTAGGAAAGAGCACCTTGTAAACCATGTACGACAGCATACAGGAGAAACCCCTTTTCGATGCACCTATTGTCCAAAAGCTTTTACTAGGAAAGATCATTTAGTAAATCATGTTCGGCAACATACTGGTGAATCTCCACACAAGTGTACATACTGTCCCAAGTCATTCACCAGGAAGGAACATTTAACAAATCATATACGTCTACATACAGGCGAAAGCCCACACAGGTAAATTATATATAAAATAATAAAAAATCCAAATAACTCTAAATTTTTACCTTTGGTAACTTTGATTGTGCTACATTTATTTTTTGTGTATTATCTTTTGCAGTTGCCAGTTTTGTTCAAAATCCTTTACAAGAAAGGAGCACCTAACAAACCATGTACGAATTCATACAGGAGAATCTCCTCATCGTTGTGAGTTTTGTCAAAAGACTTTTACTCGAAAGGAACATTTGACAAATCATCTTAAACAGCATACTGGAGAGACTCCCCATTGTTGTAATGTTTGCAGCAAGCCGTTTACTAGGAAGGAACACCTCATTGCACACATGAGGTAATGTACTTAGTCATATTATTTATAATTTAATACTCACTCCTAAGTTTTTTTATTTATTGTAAAACAAAAATGTAATTTGTGGTCTCATATTAGAAGGTCCCATACTGGTGATCGGCCTTTTGCTTGTGAAGAATGTGGCAAATCCTTTCCTCTCAAAGGAAATTTGTTGTTCCATCAACGCTCTCATAACAAAGGACCAAATGCTGAAAGGCCATTCCGTTGTGATCTTTGCCCAAAAGACTTTGTTTGCAAAGGTAATTATTGATAAACCATTATTAAAATTGATTCAATAATCTAATTTTTTTTAAATTATTTTTCAGGTCATTTAGTATCACATAGACGCGCTCATACCACTGAAAGACCTCATCATTGTACCGTCTGTAGTAAAACTTTTGTCGAAAAGGGTAATCTACTCAGACATATGAAAAAGCATAATGGGGCAGTTCTTCCAACTACAACCATGCAACAAGTTGTCATAAATCAGCCACAAGTTACCTCATCAGTAAATTTAAATATTGTTCAACCAAATGTTTCTACTCACCAAAGTCAAGCACCACAAAACTTGCAATCTAATAATAGCGGTCAGTACTAATATTTGAAGAAATTGTTTTTAATTATGATTGTTAATTTGTTTATCAAAAAATCTTTCGTTTCAGGGGCTGTGATTCCTACTACTCCAAATATGACAGTTTCTATGGGTGAAAACTCTTTAACAAATATCTCAGCTGTTAACCAAAACCAGCATCTGCAAATTCATCACGTTCAAGGTACACATCCTGTTGTAGTAAATTATTAAGTTATTAATGCAAGGTAAATATATATATATATATATATATATATATATATATATGTATATATATATATATGCAGATTTTAATTAACAACAAAAGATCTTCACTCTAAATAGAAGTAAATGGACTTCTGACAAATAAAACATACAATAAATTGTTTGGACTCTAAATAAATTATTTGTCTCTAAAGATTTTAATCGATTATGATATATACATTTATTTAAAAATTTAACTAGTTTGAGTCATTTTAATTTTAATTATGTAAGTAATGCGATTTCCTAGGCAGGCCCTGCTGGGTACCACAACTTTATCTATATTATATGTACCCACATACTATTTTTATCATTGTGTGAATGTTTAATGAAAAATCAATATATATATATATATATATATATATATATATTTCAAAGTAACTAGCAGCCCATTCGTCGAAATAAAAAAGGTATAAAGTGTAAATACTTTTTTTTATACGTTTCGACACAAGATGCGTGTCATCATTCAGCAACACAGGACAAAAACACTCAACAAAAATTTATTTTAAAAAATTAAACTTAATAACATATTAGAGAAAACCATTTTTAGAAAAAATTATGAATAACTAAAAGATTTGAAACTAATTTGACTAAAAGTTATAAAATACATAATTGTGAGACGAGAAACACGCCCATACCGAGCATCCAGACTCGACTCTGGTCGACTTGAGTCGAGTCTGGATGCTCGGTATGGGCGTGTTTCTCGTCTCACAATTATGTATTTTATAACTTTTAGTCAAATTAGTTTCAAATCTTTTAGTTATTCATAATTTTTTCTAAAAATGGTTTTCTCTAATATGTTATTAAGTTTAATTTTTTAAAATAAATTTTTGTTGAGTGTTTTTGTCCTGTGTTGCTGAATGATGACACGCATCTTGTGTCGAAACGTATAAAAAAAAGTATTTACACTTTATACCTTTTTTATTTCGACGAATGGGCTGCTAGTTACTTTGAAATATGTTTCAACGTCGAAAAAATTATCAAGATATATATATATATAATTTTGCATTGATGATGAATGGATGTATATGAATGTTAAATTTTTGCAAAATAAATTTTTAATGCTTTTCAAGTTCTCCTAAAGTAAAAAAATATGTAAAATCATGTAAATAAGTTCAAGAAGTTTATCAAATTATTAAATCAAATATATATCAAATTTATGCATATTTTTTAAATCGGAATAAAACTTTGTATTATGTCCGCTGCACATAGTGTACAATACAATATTAGACATGCCATTGAAAAAAAATTGATGATACGCACTTGACAAAAAGTTTTTTTTTTATGTTTCTTGTTTGTGTGGACACTAATATAGGAAGTTTGCAAATGTATATATGAAACTAAGTAGGAAGGATAAAATTAAGAGGTTGGCAAAAAATCATTGAATAGGTGAATTAACATGAACTTTGAAATTTTGTATTATTTTAGACTGCTCTTGAATTTCTTGAATTATGTTATATAATTAGTTTTTAATATTCATATATGTTAACTTAAATAGTTAAATTTCTTAATCAAAATATCTTTCAACGTGTATGGCATTGTTGCCAATTACCCGGTTTAAAATTATTTTAAAGTGACTTATTTATCATATGCATGATAATGCTATTTGTGCCACCTTCTAACTAATTTTTAGTAGAGTCAATATATCTACTTCTATATATATATATATATATATATATATATATATATATATATATATATATATATATATATATATATATATATGAAGAATTTGGTATAATTTATTCTGATTATTTTATTCTTGGTGCCATTAACTATTGGTCAATTCATATGTGTCTGTATTGTTAATGAATTTAAGAGTTTAAAGAAAACGGAATCATTTAGCAACTTGTAATTTTAAATGTATATAACTATGTGTTTCCACACTATTCTTTGTCTTGAAAAGGAAAAGTTTATAATTTTATTATAACATTACATTATTCTTAAGATAAATGTTGTATATTATGAATATGTATATTTGCAAGAATTGACTGCACAATTTTAAGCAAATTGATGATATAGAAATAACTAATGTAATAATGTATTTTAAATGAATTTATGTAACCACAAAGCATATATTAACATAATAAATGTTAATGCAAAATTATTAGTTATCTACAATTCTCTATTTTTCTGATTAACTCAACAAAATAAATTTATTTCTAGAAGTTTTCCTGCAAATAGAGAAGACATTAAAAAAAGCTCATTTTAGTACTTCACAAAGTATTTATTATATAAAAAATACATATTAAAAGAATTTATACAGATATGGGATATCCCCAGGCATCTTTCTTCTGGTTGAGCAATGCCAATGAAGATTCTGCTATTTTTGTTAATAACTCTGATAATTTATGCTTAGAATATATCTCATGAAATTTGTTTTTATCTGACATGATAGTATTAGCTAACATAACACATTCTTGATATTCCCCAACATTGTGCATGACGGTATGCAATAATAGAACAATATTGGGGATGCAAACTTTGCGCAAATTTTCCATCTGCTGTTTTCTCAAAGTCCACTCTTGTTCCTCTTCCTCATCTGTATACTCTGGTGGATCCACAGGATCCACTAACCATCCGTTTCCAGGAAAATCAAGGACATTGTAGAACATCTTCTTAATACCTGAAAAGGGAATGAATATTTAATCATCTTCAATTGAATAAATGTCATTATAAATCGACATACACTCTGTTTGGTGCTGCAAGGCAATAGACCATCTATCTAATTCAGCTTCATACTGCTTTTTCTTGTGATCCATTGCAACTTTTTCTGTAAAAGTTGGTTCTGATTGCAAAGGGCTAGGTGGATGTGGTTTACCATGATGGAAATGTTGGAACCAGTCATTGAAAACATCTTGTGATTCTAAATATGCTTTCAGACAGAAATACTCCCGTACAGAACATTGATCTTTCAAGGGTAAGGTAGTATCAAACATGATATCTACTCCCTTCAAAAAGCCTAGAATTTCTGGTGTAACTTTGTTGAATGATGCTCTAGCAGCTTCTATATTTCCTTGACTTAAAAATGACCGAACTAAAAAATTTGCTTGCCAAAGTGCTTCAGATCCTTGACGAGGATTATACATTAAATAATCTAGGGCTAAAATTTTCAAGGCATCAAGATTTGATATGTTGCCTTGTAAAGGTGTATCATCTGAAGAACAGCGATCACGTATTGATTTTACTGTGTACTTTGTAATTTCATCTATTTGTAAACCTACATTTTCTGCTGCATCCAAGCACTGTTTTCGTATGCTTGAATTCATAATATGCTCCAAGAATTGTGAGTATAGTACAATCTGAAAGGTAGATTTATATTAATATATAATATATCATCACAAAGACTATTCAAAAAATGTACCTGTCTTTTTTTTGGAAGTTGGGCAGTATAATAAGCAACTAATTGAGGGTTGCCCCTTTTAATTAAAACACTAACATAGCTCTCTAATACTTTATTAGATATATTCTCATCAAAGTTTTTACCAGCTTTTCTAAAGAATATTATGAGATGAGCAAGAAACCTTATGAAATGTCCAGAAGGATTTTCATCGGACAATATCCATGTGTCCATGCCCTTCCACAAGTTTTGTATATCATCCATAATTATATATTTCTGGATTAAACGATCAGGTGTTCTAGCATCAAGGCTCACCTGAAAAACATTTATTTATATATATATATATATATATATATATATATATATACTTATATATATATATATATATATATATATATATATATATATATATATATATATATATATATATATATATATAGTTATATATATATATATATATACATATATATATATATATATATTTATTTATACCTTATTGTTTCTAGAAGCAGCTATTTCTGCAAATATTTGTTCTAAAGACATTTTATTTTTCCAATACTCATCCTTCATTGTATATGAAGTATTACTAATATAGTTGTGCTTAATTTCAGTTTCTACTCTTATATCAATTTGAACTTTTAAATAAGCCCATAGCAAATCCTCCCAAGAATCATTGCAAGCTGCTAGCATAGAATCCAAATGACCACAAAATGCTCCAATCGTTGCTCTAGTATATATATCAAACGCACGGCTATTTTCTGACATTTTCCAAGCACATAGTTTCCATAAACGTCTGTTAGGGTTTCCTTCAGGCAATTTTTTAATTTCACCTGTTCGCGCTTCAGAGTTTTCATAGTTAGGATCATGATACAAGCGCCAGCCTTCTAAAAGAGCTGCACGCCAATATTCTCCACAATGGCAGCAAGTTTTTTGGGCTTCTTCCAACTGACCTGACCGTACATCTAAAAATACACTTTTTGCTAATCGAAGTTGATCTTCTGCATCAAGATCATGTATTGAGAGTTTTTCACGTACAGGAGCATCTGGGTCCAAGTGTTTCACCAGTGGACGTACTGTTCCAAACGCTGTGTTACCCTCACTCTGTAGATGGTGTAAAGTGTTTTCACATGATATTGTACGATCAGTGTATTGTAAAGGATTTTGTGCTCTAGGAATTTCTCCTGCACTTTGCTCTAACCAATCTACTACTAACTGTGTTTCTCTCAACAAAGAGCATGATGTATATAGTTTTTGAATAATATTTTTTTCTGAAAAAGACATTGCTAAATCTAAATTAGTTTCCATATCCTCGCACTTTGCTAGCAAGCGATCATTATACAAACAATATAATAGCCGCCATGTATTTCTCTCTCTATTCAGCCAATGTTTATCACGAATGATATTTTCTGATTTATTATCAAAACTTTGCAAAGTGTCTAAAGTATCAGAAGATACCTGAATCAATTCACTAAGCATTTGAAACACAGTGCTGTCAGTCTCATGTGACTGAACGATTTCAAAAAACAAATCGTACAAAGTGTCAACAGGATTTGGTCTATTATCTTGTCTTTCCAGCAAAGTAGCATCATCTAGCAATGTTTCATCCATAACAGACCGAAAAGCAGTGCTATTAAGACTTTCCCCAAACGTTTCATTATACTGAAGTCCTAAAATTTCGTGCTGTTGCAGGGTTATAGAATAATCTTGAGGTTTCATGCTCCGATTTCTTGAATAAGGTGGTGATTTACTCATAACCGATTTTCCGTATACGGCTTGATCCAATAACCGTACTGAATTGTCTAAGTTCATTTTGATTTAATGTTAAATAAACTAAATGAGTAATACAACTTATTCATATACGTTATAAATATCCGTTAATGAAAATAGAACGATGCTAATTTATCAACCAATACGGCATTATGAAGTTACAGAAAGTACACTGATAAAGATTTTATATGAAAACTTGAAATAACATAATTGCATTATCTTATTTCAATCTTATTTCATTTTCGGTGATTAATTCAAAAACATAACCAAGACTGCAAGTTGGACAAGACCAGGCAAATACAAATGGTGTTGCCCTACTCCAAAATAATGTCTACAAATATTCTTATGTTATTAATATAAATGGTCTATCATGCAGCTATAATGTAGTATATAATTAAAGCTTTAACAAATGTTTTTTTAAAAGAATAGTTATTCGTAAAATTATAAATATTTCTCTTTTTGCTTTATTAAATTTTGGCACCTTTTTAGCACCCTGGCAATACTACATGAGTGCCATCTGCTTGCGCGGTAATTAATTTTTATACTGACGTGTATGACAGAAGTGCAAAATTTAAAATCTTTTTAAAATGTTACTATTTTTGTATATTTAATGTTTAATTGTATTTTAGTAATATATTTTTTAAATATTGTATTATTTAAATTATAGAATGGTTTTTATTGTGAAAAGACATGTATTATTTTGGGCATTTACTCATATAATAATTTTTAGGTGAGTATTGCAGAATCGATTTTATTATAATTATTATTATATGTTGTTAGTTTATCAGCATAATAAATATTGAATTCAATATCAATCTTTGTTATATTATAATATACTAAATTTTTTATTTCTTTTACTTTCAGTGCATTACTGTTTGTGACACAAGCCAAAATTGCGTCAGAAAACTCAAGTGAAGCAATACAGAACAATGATGATTTTAATATTACAAGTGATTCTGAATTACAATATGTTGACAATGATGTTAAAGTTCCCCCAATAACTGATACTGGACCTGTTGAAAATATTTTGAGTGATAGTACTGACAATAATAAAAATAATAATGGTGCAGATGATGTGGAATTAAACTTAAGTGTGCAGGATACACCAAAAACTGAAGCACCAGATTTACTTCCATCTATGATTGCCATTGGTTTTAATGAAGCTGTTTCTCAAAACTCGGGATTGACTGATGGGTAAGTTTATATTGTACATTAACAATTGTTCGCCTGGATAATGTTTATTATGAGCTACATTTTCAAAATATGTTTTTGGAATTTGTATACATCAATGTCATTTATCATAGCAAGTCGTTACATGAGTCTCATAAATTATTTTTTATTGTAAACTTTTATGAAAAATTTCCATATAAGTGAAATTATTAAATTGGATAATTTGAATTATTTCTTGTGCATATAATTTCTGTTATCCATTCCCCATGAATTATTTACACAATACAATAGTTCAAAAACCAATAATATGATTTAAATTATATGATTATAATTATATTTTGAAGAAGCAATGCTTTATTTTGGTTATGTACATGTAAACTGGTTGTATTTCATATCTCATATGCAAATCTTGTTATAACTACTGATCTCAAAACAAATTTAAGAAAATTGTTATCAGAAGAATAGATATTTTTTCTGATACAGTTTATAACCGTAATATAAATTCATAACAGTAACAGAGCCTTACTTTTGGCTTATGGTAGAGAAGCATTTGCTTCTTAGCGAATTAGTGCATATGCACATAAATTTTAATATAAAATTAATTATAACCATAAATCATGCTGAGTTATGTGAATGCAACGTGAGGTAACTATATTTAATTGCTCAAATCTGTTTTTTATTGTATGATGTTTTCTCCATTGAAGAAGAGTCACAGTGGTACTTCAAACATATGAAAAACTTATTAATTTTTTTGTTAAACCTAACTTTTTCGTTGCAATAACTGGATAATAGGTAGTATTGGCCTAAGGCAGGTCAGAGAGCTGAGTTAAACTAAAACTTTAAATTATTGAATTTAAAAGTATTTACACCCTAATATATAAAAACAATACACACACACATATACACAGATTTTAAGTCAAGTGTTTCTCACAATAAAAAAAATCTAAAAGGTCTGGAACTTTAGTAGGGTCAGAAGGCCAATATGTTGGACTTTCAAATTCAATCGTTCAATAAACAGTTTGTTACGAAATAGTTATCCCATAACATCAAGCCTCACATAACAAACTCAAAAAAGCCTAAAACTTAAAAATATTTGAATTACAAAATTTATTCCATTGTCTGAAAAGAAATTCATAAAATCACACTTCTTGATAAAATCGTTTTTAGTGAAAAGTGTTAGTGTATGATCAATTATACAGGTAATTGATTCTATTTTTTCTTAACCCTTTTTAAAAAAAGGCTTTCAAATTTTCTAACATTTCTAATATTTTGTTATATAATCCAATCATTCATTTCATTACTTTCATTTTGATTATATTGTCTGAATTATATTACTTCTTCAATTTTATTAATTTTATATAAAAAATACTCCCTTTTCTACTTTTCTTAAATATATTGTTTATCAAGATCATGTTTCTTGACAGATGTCCTGAAGATGGAACGAACCTAGTTCCGAAACGTCGACAGTAAATAAATAAAGAAATGGTTTTTTAAAAAGACTTTCGTTTTTTTTTTACTTTTTGAATTCTTTGTTCGAAGCTCTACAATATATATATATATATATATATATATATATATATATATATATATATCATTTATTGATATTAGTGATCATACTCTATCGAGACTAATACGAAAAGGATCATGACCTCGCCTTCGGCCAGATGTCAAGCGTCCGATTGTTATAAAATAGTATACAACTTATAGGGGATAGGGGCATGAGATGAGGCATTTGATCTCGTATGTCTGAGCCAACATTTACATTTTACTTTCGATTATTTTAACATTCATTTGTTCACATAATTGATAACACCAGAAATTTGTCAGGATTTATCTTTCTATCTACTTCCGTTATAAAGTGCGTTATCTTTTTCATTGGGCATTTTTAGAGACGGTACATCCTTTCCGATATAAAAAAATAATGAAATTAATAAGAAAAATTGTTTCACATTTATTAGAGAAGAAAATTAGAAAAATCTTCACAGCTTATAATCGCATACTCCATTCTCCCACAAACTCGAATGCTACTTTGTTCTGTATCTCCGTAAAAGCCGGACCTGCTTTCGCCAAAAACTAATCAGCACGTTTCTGTGCCAATAGAATCCACTTTTTGAATCATTCTAATCGGATACTCCGTTCTCTCAGAAACTGCTTGCATTTCAAAGGGTTAAATAAAGCTGCTGCATCGGTTAACTGCTGCATCGGTTAAATAAAGTCTTAACTAAAGAAAAATCATCATAACAACCTATAGGACCTTATTTCTGACCAGTATTCAAATAAATACAAAAAACAAGTGAAATATTTTTTGAATCGTTGAAATTGCATGGTCCGTTCTGCCACAAACTGAAATGCTGTTTTTTAAACTTTTTGCTCGAAATCTCCCAAACGGTTGGACCTGCCTTTCCCAAAACTAATCAGCACGTCTCCGCGTCTATATGAATCGAATGTTTTTCTGATTAATTCAAATGGGTTTATCGGTGCTCCCAAAAATGTCGACGAAAACTTGTATCCACACATACACACATATATCAATTTTTTTTAAGGTATGCCAAAGCGTTCAGAAACCCTTGAAATGTAAAAATATGCAAAAAAATCATTTTCGATTTTTTTGCGTTTACTATAACTTATCCCCCGAGAAGTTGAATATTTAAAAAAACAGAAGGTGTATTTTGTTAGCTTTTTTAGAGGTTCCAAAATAAACTAATCTTGGTTTTATCAATCATCACGCCATGTATGTTTCTTAGCACGCTTCAAATCGATAACAGATCTAATCTTGTCATTAATTTTTGAATGTTTTTATTTTATATAAATCTGATCTTGTTTTGGTAAAATACATTAATTAAACTAGTGTTATAACTGAGAATTATTTATTTTCATAGTTGATTTTATTATCACTTCAAAAATCCCACGATTTTAATCGATTCCTCTGTTATACTTGTTATGGAGCTAAAACAAAGTTCTTTTAGCAAACGATTTTTTCTTAGATAATAGTAAGATTTGATGGCATATTCTAAGAAGAGAATAGGATGGAATATTCTAAGAGAGTAAGAAGAATCAATTTATACATATCGTAGGTGTTCTTGATATTGACTTTAAAAATAAATGGCCTTGTGTATGCATAACAGGAGTCGATTACTGAAGGCAAATAGTAAGAAACTATTTTGTTAGCTTTTTTCATTTGCAATTTAGATTGTCACCTTTAAGGTGCACTTCGATTGTAATTGAAAGCAAATGTCGTAGGAAACTGAACTCAATTTCTTCAACCATTTGTCATATGAATATCATATTTTTTTAAATGTCACACATATTTTTAATTGTGGCAAGACACATATTTTTAATTGTGAAGTGTAAAAATGTTTTACATGCACTAAAGTTTAAAAATGTTTTGCATGCCTTACTCATTCAGCTAAAATTTTCGGAGAAGAATGTCACGGTTTTGATATTTTACATTGGATACGTAAAATATTTAGCGTATTTGTAATTATATTATAACATGTTACTCAAATATGAGATCCTGATTTACGGAAACGGTGTAAAATATTTATCCATCTAAAAGAATTATTTTATAACATTTTATTGGAAGTAGAATATAAATCTGGTATCAAATTATCATTTTTTAAATATTTAGTCTATATTTGCTGAGTAAAATATTAATCCTGCTGAGTAAAAATTTACTCCTTCTTGGTTATTACTTTTCATGATCATTTTTGTTTTTCAATTTTCGTTACTATGTACAAATACAGTACACACGATTTATCAAATTTTAAATTAAACTTCGGAAAATTTCTTTATTTTTATTATGGGATTCATTTGTGTACACAAGATGATAAAAATGTGGTTTTTAATCATCAACAATGATGATACAGTAAATAATAACTTAAGTGTATGTAGTAAGACGTAAAACATGAAAAATATAAAGCAATTTATGAAGTGTTTATATATTTTGATTTTATATTTACTGACTTGGAAAACAAGAAAACTAATTAGGAGAAAGTGGTGTATATAATTGATATATTGACCATGATACACTTTTAATTCCATTTTGTGTAAATTTATCACTTTACACAATTTGATAAGACTTTGACATTATAATTGTAATACTTATGTGAATCTTAATAAAAAATGAACTGAAATATGTTTCAAGACTGCGTTTTTTTAATAATTGCTCTTATACCATCCGGAACATCAGCCAATTTTTGGCAGTAATTTTAGTTTGTGCCAATCCAGTGTTTGAAGCCAAATTTTTAATTTGAAGAAATATTGTTTATAAACAAATAATCACATACTTACCACTTGAAACCAATTGGCGCTAAGAATAATTTCAGAAGCACACGTATTTTTTTATCACTTTTATTTATTGTTTTTTTATAATTTTAATTACTTTCTTCATTATAAATATTTATTATAATTTACATTATTTTGCTAGATTTTTTTTGATAATCTTTTTATATTAAACATTACTGTGCCCGTGAGCATTCTTCATTTTATCAATGAAAAATACATACCTGTATAATCATTTTCTGATAAGTATTAATAAAACATTTATTTTATTATTCACCAGTCTATTGCGATTTCATATATACTTATCGGTCTTGTAATGAAATCAGTTGTAGCTAATTATAACTGGGTTCCTAATTAACATAACATTAAACATTTATTTTTACAACGCGATTAAAATTTATTTATCAGACGTGCAACTTCCTATTGGCGTCACGTTTTTGATAAAGTTAAATAATAAGACTTGCATATTTGAGAGCGGAATTGCACTAAATTGAAATAAGCTGATTTTATGATATATTTTTATAGAAAAGTAACGATTTTGCAAATAATGATATCACTTATCATTACTGCGTCTGATGCAACACTTAAATTTTATTAGATCATTTGGATATTTATCTGATCGCAAGTTGCTTGTACATAAGTTATCTTCTGGTTCGATCATCTTGTCTTCTGTTTTTTGAGAACCTCGTTGCACATTTAAAACTTCAAAATTATAAAAGAATTGGGTCTGATTGATATACCTG